CAAGAGGAAAAAAGCAGTCATGCGCTTTTTGTTTTTGTGCCTGTTGCAAAGTCTGTAAAACTGTGACGCATCTCCATTTGCTGCCAACTAAAATGCTTTATTTATCCCCATTTTCAAAACACAACATTCACCAAAATCAATGGCTGGGAACAAAACAGAATCCGTATTAATAATTTTTCCCAGCCGTCATTTTGTTTTCTGGACCAGCCTTTGATTCAGTCAGAAATAGGAATCGATTCCTCTAACATGCCTTTGAGTACAGTATGTACAAAATTACACCCTGTATCAAATCAATAAACCCCAGATAGTGCTATTAAAGTCATTCAAATTGGCAGTACGTCCAAGCTCACTATTACATCACAGGCAACAATATAATGAGGAACCACAATGCAGTTTGACCCTGTTATACCCCTAGTCTGATTTATAAATTGTGGACCTATAATACACCAGACGTGTGATACAGTTCTAGTTTAGTGAAATAGAATTGGCCAATGGTGCACTTTTGGATGATCAGGTTACCTGACGTCACTTCCAGTAAGATGGCCAGTTATTGCCGATAATAATAACCCTTGAATTTTACATTTCATTTGCTATAGCACCTTAGTACGTCTTTGAGACGTCTCAAAGTGCTTCGCATTGTATACTGTAATTATATTATGTCCTCCCTCCACAGGCTGCAGATAATCCAGGGAGAGGGACTAGTGTTTGTTTGTGTTTCATGGACACATTATATGCAGGGGTCCAATTTTATGGACCCAGAACTTTGCTTTATAATGGAGTCAGACTGCAAACAGCTCCAGTGGAGACCTAGCTGATCACAGACATGACAGAATGGGCTCTAACTTGTGATTAAGAATATCTAAACCAGACTAAGAGTTCCATTTTGTGTTGAAATTTAAGACCATGCAGAATCTGTGATTGATTTTTTTTTCTGCATTCCAGCTTCCAAATTAAGAGCAATTTTTAAGAATTTTCATAATTCTTAGTGATGTTAAATTTGAAGACAAAACGATCCAATGGTTGAACAGAGCTATAGTCATAAGTATTGTCAGACCTTTCATGTTAAGATTTTTGCCCGTGCCAATACTTTTACAAAAGAATCCTCCCAGATACGTATACATAGCTGAAATGTCAAGCATTTAAATGCATGAGCTCTAAAATCAATGTTATATTGATTGCCTTATTATTGGCGAGCAGCAAATTTCTTGGCAATATTTAGTCAAGAAAACTTTGCAGTAAACAACACCCCTAACCCTGTATTTGCCTGTTCAAAAAATAATTTCCTCAAGAATTCCCACACAATTGCTGCCCACAAGAAAATGATTTCTTCATGGGAATGAAATCCTTCTATTCCGCACCAACCGTCTCCGAAAGGCAAACACCCCTTCCCCTTCCCTCATCAATACCCTCTACAACTGTCCCCTTTCCTCAAACACCACCATCATTTCTACCCCAAATCCTCTGTATACCATTCTCTCCTCCATCCACCTCCACCAGCGTTTCGCTCCAAAATGTCCGCTCCCTCTCTCACGAAGCCCTTACTATCCATGGCTTCTTCCTGGATGAGCAAATTGATATTCTTGGGTTTACAGAAACCTGGTTCTCCCCCAGTGACCCTGTCCCCCTTGTTGAAGCCTCCCCTCCTGGCTACACTTTTCACCACACCCCCTGACCCAACCAACGTGGCGGCGGGGTGGCCCTCATTTCCCAAGCTTCCCTTGGTCTATCCCCCTATTCCTCTGGCTGTTTCTCCTCCTTTGAGCATCTCATCCTCCACCACCCCTCCTCTCTCTCCCTAAAATTCTCTTAGTTTACCGCCCTCCCAAACCTGCTGGTTCCTTCCTCACTGATATCTCTTCTCTCCTCTCATCCCTGTCCCTCTGCACTGAACACCTACTCATAATAGGTGATTTCAACGTCCACCTAAACTCACCTTGCACCACCTGCTGCCTTGACCCTCTCCCCACCCAGCTGCTGGTCATTCAACTCCCCCTTCCCTCCCCCTTACTGGTTGACCAGTCTCTCTTCTTAGGCTCTGTTCCACTCCCCCTGAAAAACCCACCCTCGACCCCTCTAATCTCTCACACTACCGTCCCATCTCCAACCTACCCTTCCTTGCCAAGGTTCTGGAACACATTGTTGCAGGTCAACTTGGGTCACACCTCTTCCTCCCCTCCCTCCTCAAGCCCCTGCAGTCTGGTTTTCGCCCTGACTGCCCACAGCACAGAGACAGCGCTTGTCAAAGTCACAAACGAAGTCCTCTCTATCTGTGACCAGAGCTCTCTCTGCCTCTCCGTCCTCCTGGATCTCTCTGACGCGTTCGACACAGTTGATTGACCACGTCATCCTCCTCCATCGGCTCTCCTCCCTCATCCAACTTAGTGGGACGGTACTCGCATGGTTCGAGTCCCTACTTAACCAACTGCCTCCACTTCATCTCGGCAAATGGTTTCATCTCCCACCCCCGCCCCGTCACCTTTCGGGTACCCCAGTGCTCCATCCTCGGCCCTCTTCTTTTTCTTATCTATATTTCTAATCTCAATGTCATCCTCTGACACGGGGTAAACTTCCACATGTACGCGGATGACACAAAATCTACTTTGCCACCTCCAGCACCAATTCCAGCTCCGCCGATGTTCCATCAGCTTGTCTGGCAGACATCAGGGCCTGGATGAGTGTAAACTTCCTGCAGATGAATGTGGACAAGACGGAAGCCATACTCCATACCGCCATCTCACCAGTTCTGGCCAGGCTCCACTGGCTCCCCATCACTGAATGATTTCAAGATCCTCACACTCGTGTTCAAATCCATTCACTCCCTGGCACCTCCCTACCTCTCCAACCTCCTCACTTGCCTATCCACCACCTGATGCCTCCGCTTGACTGGCACTAACCTCCTACTTGTCCCTCGTACCTCCATTCTCCCATTTGAGGTCACACTTTCAGCCACTATGCCCCGAAGCTCTAGAACACTCTCCTTCAGTTCCTCTGCCTTGCCCCCTCTCTCCCCCTTTTCAAGTCCCACCTGAAAACCTTCCTTTTCAACCTTGCTTATGGTCACTTCCCCCCTCCGGCTCGGAGTCAGAGTCGTAGTCACTGTTAAGCTCCCTGAGACTTATATAGAGCCAGCATGGAGGGCACTATATAAGTGCGAGTTGTTGTAGTTATTGTATTATTCCTCTTCCCACAGTTCTCTGCAGTCTACCAAACAACAGGGGTGAACTAACTCCCTGGTATTTGACATTGGTTTGCTGAGAGAGAACATAAAAAAAATGTACGATTGTTCTGCTGGTTTCCTCTCTGCCCCCACCCCCACCCCCCCACCCACTGCCTCTTCCCTGCCCCCTCCACCCACACCAACACACCAGGGAAACACTTGGCCACCATTCAGCACCTCCTCCCACTGGTCCAACTTTTCCCAACCATCTATGTGCAACGCTAAGCAATGCTATCCCATGTGAATGGCTCTACATATATGCAAGTTGTTGTGTGAAAAAATGTTTTCAGTTGGTACGACTCTCCCCTGTGAATCATAAAGTTGTGGGATGAGCCCCATATCGAGATTTTGAACTCATATAGTCTAGGCTCACAATGCATCCCACAGGCATTACTGAAGGTCCTTCAGATAACATGTTAAACCATGTGGATGTTAAAGATCCTCTGAGACTATTCGTAAAGAAAAGGGAGTTTTCTTTTGGTGTCTTGGCTCACAATGCCCCAAATAAAATTGGTCATTCATTTCACAACTATTTCTCGGACATTGTTGGGTGCAAATTGGGTGTTCATTTACACCTACAATATCCAGTCATTACAAATACAGTAACAATTATTTATTTATACTTATAAATAATGATTATTATTTACAGTAAAGTTATATGAAGTGCTTTGAAACAACCTTCTGATGTTAAAGGCTCTATATCAAAATCAAGGATTATTATTATTTTATAATTAAGGAATACAACTCAAGTTCAAAAGCCTGTCATCAAGACTAAATGCTGTCTTCCTAGGTATTAAACTGGGAGTGTGTGACTGAACCTATTTCTAATTTGACGTATGTCTCTGCAGTCCATAAGACAAATCCATTTTGTCAGCACAATATGCAAGGGTCAAGTCAGAGAAATCCATTCGCTCAGTGCATTTTGGGGGTATTTTACAGCCTCCAAATCTGTGTAAAGAAATCCAATCCATTCTCAAAATACTTCAACTCAATACCTGATTTCAATTTGATTGCAACATCTTTACATAAAGAAGCAAGACAACATTCTAAACTACCACATGATATAATTAAACAGTGAAATGCATTTGATTATAAGATATTTTCAAACAAATATCACAGTTATTTGAAGCTTGTCTTTTCTTCTGGCCTAATGCAAAAAAAAGTTTGTCACCCATCGCTAAAATGGAAAGTAAGATCAATCTATAAGTGTGTGTTTGATTGCCAAAGAACTGAGGCAATATGGAAATTGTGGACAAAGTTTGAATCCAAGATGTAAATTGTGTCAACTTCATTGCCGCTTTTTAATTGCTGCTGAGAATGTTTTAATCCTTGCATTTGATATAGCGCTTTTCACATCGGGAGGACGTCCCAAAGCGCTTCACAGAACACACTGTAAAGTGAATTGACTGTATATTTGTGGGCGAACGCGGCAGCCAATTGCGCACAGCAATGTCCCACAAACAGTCGTAGATTGAAAATGACCAATTTATTATTGTTTTGGGTTTTTGGAGGGATTATTATTAGGCCCTGTGTGGAGTAAGGAAACTTGCCCAAGGTTTCGCCCTCTGCCTGGAATTGAACTCAGGTCTCTCGCTTACAAAGCGAGTGCTCTAACCACTGAGCTACAGGACTCCACTGACTTTACCAATGACTTAAATGTAAAAAAACTGAAGTGTGCACTTATCTTATTATCTTATTCTTCATTTAGTCAATCTTACAATCTATTGTTAAACCTCCCTCGTGTGCCTCAGGATACAAAGTAATGACTTCAAAAGCTGCTTACCTTGCATTGTGTTTCTTGTAGGTTCAGAAAACAGTGGAATCAGGAGGAGGTAAATGAGGTAGACAAATGATAGTCCATTGTACCGGAACAAACATGCTGCAAGAGAGAGGGTAAAACAATTAGCATTTCTGGTCTTGAAGAAATAAATTCCAATTAATTTGCTCTTCTAAAAGGCACTTTGAGCTGCTGAGGAGAACAATATTTGAATCAAGGTTGCAATACACAGGAAAATGAAATTCATCAATAATTACATGACTGCAGCTTTCTGTTAGATCACATGAAGGATGACCATATAGTGTAAGTTACTGAGATCTGAAAAATAATTGAGGCAACAATGTTTACTGCTTGTTGGCATCCCCAACCTCTCCCTCCGTAGGCTGCAGATCATAAATAATAATAATCCTTGCATTTGATATAGCACCTTATCATGTCTTCGAGACGTCTCAAAGCGCTTCAGAGAATATACTGTAAAGTGAACGGACTGTATATTTTGTAGGCGAAATACGGCAGCCAATTGCGCACAGTGTCCCACCAACAGTCGTGGATTTTTTTTCCTTGAGGGATTATTGTCAGGCATGCAGAGTAAGGCAACATGCCCAAGGTTTCGCTCTGTAGGGAATCAAACACATGTCTCTTGCTTGCGAGGCGAGTACTCTAACCACTGTGCTACAGAACTCTGCAGCCCGTGGCCTCTCCCACACTAGGCTCCGTGACCCTATCATCCCCATCCTCACCTGTCTCCACTGGGTTCCCATCACACAGAGGATACAGTTCAAGATCCTGGTCCTCACCTTCAAAGCCCTCCATGGCCTTGCTCCCTTCTACCTCTGCGACCTTCTAACCCCCAACCATCCTGCTTGCTCGCTCCGCTCAGTGGACCTGCTTCATGCCCCCTGCCTTGCCTCCCCCACCATTGGTAGGTGGGCCTTCTACCACTCTACCCCCACCCTCTGGAACTCAATCCAACAGGCCCTCTGCCTCGCCCCCTCCCTTGCCTCCTTCAAGACCTGTCTCAAGACCCTCCTCTTCAATTGTGCCTTCGGTCACCCTCCTTCCCTCGATGACCTCCACCCTTCCCGATCCCAATCTCCAGTTCGGATCGGAAACACTGATTGTCCAGCGCCTTGGGATGTCCTCCTGACGTGAAAGGCACTATACAAATGTAATTTTGTTGTTGTTGTTGTTGTTACCATTTATGCAATCTGTTTTCGGTCAAAAATATATTTGTAATAAATAAGATACAGATACCAAAATTCTTTCATCTTAAGATTTCACCTTAAGAATAACAATGATAAAAAAAAGAAAGAATTTGTATTTTTAGGGTATAGAAATGGCTCAAAGATCGTGATGGGTAATTAAGGTAGAGTGTAGTGGCTGTTTTTGTCAGCAAATTATTTTGTAGGCTTTATTTCTTAATGAAAACTTGGTCTAATACCATTTCAGGGTCTAGAACATCCCAAGGTGTTGTTTTATTCTGTGTATTCACAGGAATTATTAATACTATAAATAATTCCACAACTACAATTCTGGTGGTCTTATTACCAGGGCTTTGTTGTGTAACAACAATAGTCTTTGTTTCAACCACACTTCCTGGCAACCTTTTCAGGTCAGACTCAGCAGGAATCGGAAACAGACTACTAACGTGCGCTTTATTGAATCCTTTCATAATCTTAAACATTTCAACACACTTGACAGTAATTGCAAAACTCTTTAAGACTTATTGACATACAAATGTGCAAATAAATGCAAGACCCCTTTCTTTGCTACTGTTTCAATTAAATTCAACAAAATCGCTCACGCAACACACTGTTGTGATTCACAGCCAGGAAAGGAAATGGCTGCAATTCCCACCAAATATTTAAAATTCTCCATTGAGCACCAAAATAAAGTAAATAAAAATCAACCTTCGCTTGGCTTCATTTTTATATTATGCTAGATTTCTAAATTTCAATGAATTTAATGCATTTTTTTTCTATTTGAGCATTATCTATTCACAAGATCACAAGAGAGGTTGGTATGAAGAAGGCCCATCATTGGAGCTCATTGTTGCAAAATACCCATTGCAATTACTATCCTCTCATTGCAGCATCTAACGGCTTCTCAAACGGTCCAACATGCTGGTCTCAAACAACTTTCCTGGCAAACCCATTCCAGCTGTTAATTACATTTCATGTAAATAATTACTTCCTGGTGTCTGTTCTGAAATTGCCCTTCTCAACCCTGAACCTATGTTTGATGGCTCTGTAGGTTGGAAGTAAGTTGGGGGGGTTTTAGCTAAGACACGAGGAGAAATGCCCATCTCTTTTTAAACAGTTGGCGTGATATCTTTGATGTGCAACTGAACAGGCAGATGGAAACTCGGTTTTAACATCTCATACAAAGGACAGCACATCCAATAGTGCAGCGATCCCCAGTACTGTGTTAAACTGTCAGCCTGGACTGTGAGTTCAAAGTTCTGATGTGGGGCTTCAACCCACAACCTTCTGACTCAGAGGCCAGAACTGAGACAGGCTGACAAAGCTGGTCATTCTCATGTGACTGTATGAATAAATACACTGAGAAAAACTGGTATCCCAGTTAGTGGGACTGGTGAATGACAGCATTAACTCTAACATCCAATTATCCACACTGTTTGCTTCTCCACAATGGAGGCCAGTCTCCATTAATGCAGATAATCAGTTCTTAGGTCACTTCCTTATAGATCAACAACAATTTCAGATGAAAATAGTTTGTTAATTTGAAAGGTACAAACTGAGAAGTGAATCTCTTTATAAAGCCATTGCAACTCTCATTGCAGTTCTCCTGCAACTGTCCTTTGTTCAACGTGTCTCCAGGCATTTCTGTGGCAACACATAATACAAAAGACACACGTTCAATTCAGAACACTTGTCAAACACTGACAAATGCAGAGCAATAATTTAGTGTGCAGCTTAACTTGCTTTAGGGCAAGACATTTGTTTATCAATAATATTACATGACAAAATATAACACAATGACAAATGACGATCTGTTAGACTCAATGACAGAAGCATGTAATTTGCTATGTACACATTGGCTGCCTCGCATAGCTACAAATACACAGTCACTACACTCAACAGTAAATCCTGTGATGCGCTTTGAGACACCCTTCTGACTTGAAAGGTGTTATATAAAACGCAAGGATTATTATTATTAAATAAAAAAGCAAAAGATATTATATCAAATTCACAGATTATTATTATAAAATATTATTTCTGCAAAATATTATTATTACAAAATATTATTATTACAAAATATTATTATTACAAAATATTATTATTACAAAATATTATTACAAAATATTATTATCACAAAATATTAATACGATTATTGTAATAAAAACACAACAACAATAACAACTTGGATTTATATAGTGCCCTCCACGCCGGACGGCGTCTCAGAGCACTTAAAGGTAGCACCTCAAATTTATCGCAACAAAAGAGAAAAGTTACCACCTCTGCTTCAATCTTTTGTTATTGTTCTTGTTGTACAATTAGGGAGCAGCTATGTCAAAAAATCTGTATCCATTGTGTAGGTACTGAATCGGTGTGTGAAAAGTCTGTCTCCTTTTACTTTTTTAACGAAATTGTATAGTGCTTATAATAAGAATAATCCTTGCAATTGATATAGCGCCTTATCACGTCTTTGCAGCCTCTCAAAGCGCTTCACAGAATATACTGCAAAGTAAATTGACTGTATATTTTGGGGCGAAAAGCGGCAGCCAGTTGAGCACAGAAGTGTTGTGGATTGAGTCAGCAAATAATTTTTTTTAAGAAAGTATTACCCCCAGAATGCGATCCACCAATCGACTGGATAAAAGCATACAGAATATTAGGCTTTATAAATCAGGGTATAGAATACAAAAGTCAGGAAGTTATGATGAACCTGTATAAAACACTGGTCATGCCTCAGCTAGAGTACTGTGTTCAGTTCTGGGCACCACACTTTAGGAAGAATGTCAAGCCATTGGAGAGGGTGCAAAGGAGATTTACCAGGATGGTACCAGGAATGAGGGACTTCAGTTATCAGGAGAGGTGAGAGAATCTGGGATTATTCTCCTTGGAGCAGATAAGGCTAAGAGGAGATTTAATAGAAATTTTCAAAATTATGAGGCATTTCCATAGGGTGAACAAAGAGAAACTATTTCCACTGATGGGTTGGTCGATAACCCGAGGACACCAATTTAAAATAGTTGTTAAAAGAAGGAGGGGAGGTAACGAGAATTTTTTTCACAGAGTGAGTTGTTTTGAGCTGGAATGCATTGCCTGAAAGGGTGGTGGAAGCCAATTTGATAACAACTTTTAAGAGAGAAGTAGATCATTATTTGGGGAAGAAAAGTTTGCAAGGCTATGGAGAGAAAGCGGGAGATTGAGATTGAATTGGATAACTCTTTTCAAAGAGCCAGCACAGACACGATGGGCTGAATGGCCTCCCTCTGTGCTGTATAATTCTATGATTCTATGACTATCAACCGGGTTCCTACTAACTGATAGGTAAACAGAAACGTGTAGAGTAAGGAAACTTGCCTAACGTTTCACCCTGCTGGGAATCGAACCCAGGTCCACTCGCTTCCGAGGCGAGTGCTCTAACCACTGAGCTACAGGACTTTACAAATCCTGTCCTGTAGAGTATCGATTAGAGCATTGCTTATAATAATAATAATAATAATAATCCTTGCATTTGATATGGTGCTTTTCACGTCGGGAGGTCATCCCAAAGCGCTTCACAGAACACACTGTAAAGTGAATTGACTGTATATTTGTGGGCGAACGCGGCAGCCAATTGCGCACAGCAATGTCCCACAAACAGTCGTAGATTGAAAATGACCAATTTATTATTGTTTTTGGTTTTGGAGGGATTATTATTAGGTGTGTGGAGTAAGGAAACTTGCCCAAGGTTTCGCCCTGCCAGGAATTGAACTCAGGTCTCTCACTTGCAAAGCGAGTGCTCTAACCACTGAGCTACAGGACTCTAGATCTATCATGTCATATCAGACTCTATCACGTCTAGATGATGTCCCAAAATGCTTGACAATTCTGGCTGGGAATTGGAGCTGGGGGTGTGGGGAGGGGGTGAACGGGAGACGGTTGAATGGACAGACTAAACCCAGAGCCTTCCATTCTTAAGTCATTTTGTGTAGTGTCTAAGAGTGATTTGTTCCCACTCAATTTGGCTCCTGGGTCACCCAGAATGAATATCTTTGTGGGAAATAGGGGGACGGGGGTCGAGGGAAAGTTTCATGTTGTAAGTTCACTAAACAACTGGTGAAACTGCTCCACTGGGAATAATGGAAGTTTGAATGTTACTCAAGAGTGAAGCTTGAACCTGGGGATGTAACCTTCCACTGCTAAAGCTACCGGTCCATAAATTGAGTTTTGTTAAATAAACTTTCAGTGCACCAGCAGTCAAATCAATACGCGCTTATAAGCCTGCAGTCCACAGGAGTTTACATCATATAAAAAATATCTGAACGCTGCAACCTTTTGACCTATTTCGAGAGTAAAAACAGAAACTGCATTATAAATCTTGGAATATTGATATTCTTGGCTTGGCTTGTGATGTGCGTTCAGTCAGATTATGACTAACTACAGAAAATAAAGTTTAGTAAGGAAAACACATCACACATGCAGTCTCCGCTGTGTCAAAACCCAGAGCAGCTACATTTTCTAAATGAAATCTGCCACAGTTTTTCCATAAGTCCAATAAACTCTCATTTTAATCATTGCTATTATATAGTTATTTGCAAAAACAATAGTTGGCATAAATGTAAGATAGCCAGTAGCGGATCTAAAATAGAGTTTAGGTGGAATTTGTTCATGCAGAGGGTGGTGGGAATGTGGAACTCACTGCCGGAAGCTGTGGTTGAAGTAAATAGCATCAACTTATTTAAGAAGAAACTTAATACATACACAAGGGAGAAGGGAATAGAGGGATATCGAAGAGGTGATCAGGGGGTGGCAGCTCATGTAGAGTAAAAAGCCCGGAATGGTCGGCAGCACCTCCAATCAAGCTGAGGGCTTTCCCAATGCTATAGTGGAATGTCAGCCTAGACTTTGAGCTGCACTTCTGATGCGAGGTTTGATCCCACAACCTCACGGAGCCAAGTTAATTAATCTTTATTAATCTTCTATTAATTTAATAGCAAAAGGAAAGCAGATGCAGAGGGGAGAAAAATATTCTCACCCTTGCTGTGCGCGCTCACAACCCAGGACAACTGCAGTTCAAAAACACATCTTGTCCCAGCTCAGGCGTTTGACGTCCACACGCACACATCTGGTGTGCGTCAAGTGATAGAAAACAACAAAATGAGCTTTTGCCACTGCAAGTTGGCACAGGGGGGTGACACTGTGCCATTCATTGAGTGTGGAGATTTGTACACACACTCACACACACACAAAGCACTGTATTCTAGATAACTCATAAACACGACGGGCTATAAAAATATTGCTCCACTGAACAGTGCTTCGAAAGATCAGAGAAGTAGTGAAAGTAAATGTAGAATGTGCTCCCAGTGCCAAGTACTTCATTAAAACACGTCATATTCAACAAGATTCCTTGGAATATGAGGATAAGAAGACTGTCCAGCCACTGAGCCTGTTCTGTCAGTTTATTGATTCTTTAAATCCCATTTCTCCGATTTTTCTCTGTACCCCTTTAACTCACAAACGTAGCAGTGTAGAATTGTGGAATGTTTGCAATATGTCCCATGAAGCGTTTTGGAACACATCTCAATGACGTGATGAGGCGTTAAATCAAATGCAAGAACTATTATTAAATGCTGTACTTCACAGAAACAGGTTGTTCGTCCCATCCAGTTTGCGCTGCTATTTTTCTCTATAATCAATCTATCTAATCTCCGCTCTCCTGTTCAAACCCCATTCCCTTTAATATTCCTGGCCTCTGCGCAGCTGTCCATCTCGCCTTTAAAAGAACCGATGGGCTCTGCCTCACCTAGGGTTTGCTGAGCGGAGAATACCACATTTTATCTGCCCTGTGTCACTGCGTCAATGTAGATCTACTGATGAAAAAGCATCCTTGTTTGCAGTATTGGCATGTTGTTTCTGCCCTCTGCTCATCCCCTCTACTCCACCATCGGCGACTGCACTTTCAGCCACTATGACCCGAAGCTTTGGAACTCTTTCCCCCACTTTGCCCCCAACTTCCCCTCTTTTAGATCGCAAATACCTTCCTCTTCAACTGTGCTTACGGCCAACTCCCTCTCCCCTGGCTCAGCATGGTGCTCTGCCACTGTTAAGTGCTCCGAGACGCTGACCTGCTTGAAGGGCGCTATGTAAAGGCAAGCTGCTGTTGTTGTTGTTGTCACAGCCGGAGCTGTGGCCAGTAATGTCATGTCACTTCATGAAGAAGTTCTGCAAAAGATGTGCAGCATATATATAACAGAAGATCATAAAATCGGTTTGGGAGGCCCTTCAGCTCACCTGATTTCATGCCTCCAGAACAGCCCGCTATTGTTCCCCCTTTACAGCATCAAGATTTCTTTAAAAAAAATGAGTCCAGCATCCTAGCCTCAACCACGTTTGCCAACAAACCAAGCAGTCACTACACTTTACAGTAAACCCTGTGAAGCACTTTAGGTCGTCCTCCCAACATGAAAGACATTATACCAAACATAAAGATTTTATTATTATTATAGCCTGTTACAGCCAATAATCACCCTCAGGGTAAAGAAAAAATTCCTGGTACCTGTCCTGAAATTGTCCTTTACAAAGCTAAACCTACGTCCTGTTCTTCTACTGTCTTGCTGAATCCTAAAATATTGCTCTAGGTTTACTTTATTCAATCAAATTTAAAATCTTCTCTCAAAACTTGTCTAATCATTGCTCAAAGTTTGTCTTATCGCTGGTCAGTGGAAAGTTTTTTTTAAAAAAAGCTATATTTTGAAAAGAAGGAGGGTTAATAAAAGTGAAACAAATGGTAAAAATGTAAAAAAAAGGATTTTTTTCCATGTTCTTTTTTAACCAGCAGTTCCTATGTTTCCTTTGCGTAGCAGTCAACATTTCAAAGTCATCTGAAATTATTGTAACATGAAGCGAATGCCCATTTCAAAGGAATGACTGATGATTTCTGGAAAGGAATTGTCCTGACCTGATCACTGTAAGTGCAGCAACCCGTCAATTAACGTTTATAAAACAAAACACAAGTAGGAAGCATCTGGCACAAGAGTAATGCTGAATGCACTAGGCAATATTCCGTGGAAAACAATTGTCATTGAATTGAGAACTATTGAAGTGAGCATCTATTGCAATTCGAAACCTATTCAAAACTCCAGAACAGAAAGATAAAAGTGAAATGTCCAGAACCAGCACTTCTTTAACAAAGGCTTAAAAAGGTATTTTTAACTAACCCTTCCCACTGAAGCTACCAGCTGTCCCTAACGCAGGCTGACCTGTGCCTCACACTGAATGGAGCAAGCAACAACAACAACAACTTGCATTTATATGGTGCCTCTCACTCAGGGTATAGTGTCCCAGAGCGCTTGACAGTGGCGGAGCATTCATTCCAACAATCTATCTTTATAATTTAAAATAATAATAATCCTTGCATTTGATATAGCGCCTTATCACATCTTCTAGACGTCTCAAAGCACTTCACAGAATATACTGTAAAGTAAATTGACTCTATATTTGTGCGCGAAACACAGCAGCCAATTGCACACAGCAGTGTCCCACAAACAGTCGTGGATTGAGGTGACTAATTTGATTATTATTANTTTTTTCTTGAGGATTATTTTCAGGCGTGTGGAGCAAGGAAACTTGCCCAAGGTTTCGCCCTACCGGTAATTGGACCCAGGTCTCTCGCTTGTGAGGTGAGGGCTCTAACCATTGAGTTACAGGACTCCTGATTTCCATGTGTAGGTGGGATGCATGGAATTCTCAATTTGATTTGGGTACTCTTAAGCACGAGGGTTCCCGCATGTGTTAGACACGTGACTGACAAAAAAGAATCACTAACCAGGACAAAGTTCTGGGAGCTAAGTCATTGGTGAAATTGATTACATTCCTCCATAATGGTAAATTAAACCTAAAGTGACCAACAGCATTAATTAATGAGTAAAGCCGATAAGATGGGTTAGAATCAGACCATGATGACGTCTTGAGCTTTACCTGAAGGGTTAAGTCCGCAGATTGCACTTGCACACAATCCACACACTTGGAAGTACTCAAAAAGAGATGGGAGTTTCTCCCGGCGTCCTGCCCAACAATCCCCCAGATAAAATTGGTCATTCAATTCATTGCCGTTTGTGAGACATTTCTGTGAGCAAATTGGCTGCTGCATTGACCTATAAAATACACAGTCACTACATGTTACAGTAAATCCTGCCGAGAGCTTTGAGATATTGCAATGCCGTGATAAGTTGCTTTATCAAACATAATGATTATTTAAGTATAGGAGCCAGAGGAGGTTATCCAGTCCATTACACATAAGTAATCACATGCTGGACCTCTGCTCAGTGACTTGAATAATTTCTCTCAGGGTTCAAGGGTTTATTTTTCCTTTTCTGATTCCTATGAACCACGTTCACTGTAATTTTTTTGATGTAGAAAAACAATCATGGGCCAGTTTATTGGACAGATGGCAATGCAAAACTGCCAAAAACAGCATGGTTTGTTTTCATTCATTGTACGCTGTGTTGATTGCACAAAAGAGACATGGATTAACAAATCATTTTCACTCCATGTGAGCGCAGGGCACTTGATGGGAGTCCTGTAGCGTAGTGGTTAGAGCGCTTGCCTCGTAAGCGAGAGGACCTGGGTTCAATTCCCCGGCAAGGTAAATCCTTAGGAAAGTTTCCTTACTCCACATGTCTCTGTTTAGTTAGTGGTAAGCAAGAACTCGGTTGTTAGTCGGTTGGCGAATCGCTTTTTCGGGTGTAATAATCCCTTTGAAAATAAATAAACAATTCGGTCACTCAATCCACGACTATTTGTTGGCCACTGCTTGTGCAATTGGCTGCCGTGTTTTGCCCAGTAAAGAGAATACAGTCAATTCACTTCACAGCATATCCTACGAAGCATCTTGGGACATCTTGAAGACGCTCTATATCAAATGCAAGGATTATTATTGTTGATGTACAATCTTTCCCACAGCTAAGAGAGGTCCACGCAACAACAACTTGGATTTATAAAGCACCCAACATGTGGATAGTGTGTTTGAGAGCTATAATACTTTCACATTCCTGTTTTGTCTCCGCAGTCAAGCCAGTGTCTGGAGGCAACACAGCCGGCTTTCCCAACTCGAGAACTAGCAAATCCTGACTCAGCGTCAGACCACCTGCTAGCTTGGTGGTGGGGGGGTACTGTAGGGTACTGTCACTTTTGAGGGGAAAAGCTATCATTATCAAGGGGAAAATCTGATTGTTCCCCTCTCTGTTTACAGGGAAAATCTTCGGAAAAGCATATTTTGCAAGGAAGGAACAGCCCCAGGGAGAGTTGGAAAATGTGCCACTGCCTCCTCTTTCACACCACATATTTGGCTCAACAATATGAAAGTGGCTTCAGGCCAGTGTAACACTCATCTGCTGTGCCAGCTAATACAGCACTGCACCGTTCCACACCATCCACAAGGAGCCCAGGATAGCTTTTGAAAGAGGATTAAACACACTTTAGAAATGGAGAAATAGAAAGCGTGGCAGACCGATTGTACACAAATTGTACAACTGTGTACAAATATCCATGTAGCTGATGACCAATTGTATCTGAGGGATTGATGGCCACGACGCCAGGAGAAATTCCCTTCTCTTTTCCATAGCACATGGGATCTTTAATGTCCACCTGAATAGCACCTTGGTTTAATGTTCCATCTGAAAGGTGGCACCTCCAACAATATAGCGCTCCCTCAGTGTAAAGAGACTGAGACATCACTGGGCGTGATTGTCATTGTTATATATATATCCTGCAAAGATGTTCTCCTGATATGAAAGGTGCTAAATCAAATGTAAGGATTATTATTCTTATTATCATTATTAACATTACTAATAATAATAATCCTTGCATTTGATATAGCGCTTTTCACGTCTTCTAAACGTCTCAAAGCACCTCACAGAATAGACTGTAAAGTGAATTGACTGTATATTTGTGGGCGAAATGCGGCAGCCAATTGCGCACTGCAGTGTCCCACAAACAGTCGTGGATTGAAAATGACCAATTTATTATTTTGTTTTGTTTTGGAGGGATTATTATTAGGCGTGTGGAGTAAGGAAACTTGCCCAAGGTTTCGCCCTGCCTGGAATTGAACCCAGGTGTCTCGCTTGCAAGGCGAGTGCTCTAACCACTGAGCTACAGGACTCCATATTAACTCCTGACCGTGGTGGATTTGGTCCCCAAATAATGAATGCGGGAAAATCAATCCCCCCAATTTAACGTGGGATGAATTTTGGCGATTCAAGAGTGTCAGAAATTTAGCTGAAAGCTACATTTCTGCCTGGTTTCCGATTCCTTGCCTGGCGGAGAATGAATGTTAATTCGCCCAGTAGCACACCTGATGGGAAACCTGCATCCGTCCTCCTGCCCCCCCCACCACCTCCGCACCCACAAGATAACCACAGGCTCCTGTGTTATCGTTCTCTTAATAAACAGAATTGCTGTGCGTAATTGGCTGCCCCGTTTTGCCCACAAAATGTACAGTCAATTCAATTTACAGTATATTCTGTGAAGTGCTTTGAAATGTCTTGAAGACCTGATAAGGTGCTATATCGAATTATATTATATTGCTATATCAAGGATTATTATTATAACATAATTAAGCTATTACAGCTTGTTCAAAACAAACTCATGTCAGCGTACTGGCAGCTGCGCTCAATTTTCACGGTGAGAACCAGCCAGCATGTAGATTCCTATCGCTGAGAAATGAAGCACAAAAAGACACAGCTCGGGGCCTGTGAACAGCTCAAACACCACACACAAAAAAAAGAATCAAGGCAACAAGTAAAATGACGCTTATCTCTTCAATCAGTTTCAATGGGCTCATTCAGAGACTGTTGACACGTGAGGTTTATTTCCTACTGTTCATACTGCAACTTGAAGGCCAAAGTGAAGCGTGTCTGTGACACGAGTCTGAGTTACGCCTGCAGCCATACACGGAACCTCTCCAACAACAACAACTTGCATTTATATAGTGCCCTTCATGCGTGCAGTGTCTCGAAGCGCTTAGCAGTGGCAGAGCTTAATGCCGAGTCGAGAGGAGGGAGGTGGAGACCTGCTAACTCTCCCACCCACTACCCGCTGCCTCCGTTCGACTGGCTCCGGCCTCCTGAACGTTTCTAGTGCCGTCCGTTACATCATCAGTCGCCACGCTTTCAGCCACTATGCCCCAAAACTCTGGAACACTCTTCCTCTATCCCTCTGCCTTGCCCCATCCTTCCCCATCTTCAGATTATGCCTGAAAACCTACCTGTTTGACCGTGTCTGTGGTCATCTTCCCCTTCCCCCGACTCGGCGTCGTGCCCCCTCCACTATCAAACGATTTGGGACTCTGCCCTGTGCGAGGGGCGCTATATAAATGCAGGTTGTTATTGTTGATGTAAGTACGAAGGTGGGCACTTTACCGAAATGCTGCCAAAAGAACGGTGCCACTAACCGTTTGCCAGGTAAGCGTTACCGGTGTTTATTGTTCTGGAGACGGACGCATGCTGGGTTGTTCGGGAAAGTGACTCAGAGACATTTTCTCGCAGATCTGCTTAGGTTGCACGTTAATTCAATCGTTTTGTGAGATATTTCTTCGTCGAGAAAGCTGGCTGATAGGGTTCCTGCATTAATGGCTTGGACCTCCCCCTTCCCCCTACATCTGGGTCTCAGCTCAGACCCTCATATCTATTCAGACCACCACATCCAAGCGATACGGGATGCTACGCGGCAAATGCAAGTTGTTGTTGTTCAACTCGGACCCCCGTATCTGGGGCTCAGCTTTCCACAAAAGAAATGGTTTCTGCTTATCTGATCCCATGCTTCTCAAAAACTCTTACATGTCTTTTCCTTTCCGTCCCTGTCTGAATACTCCATTCAGGTGATGAACTGATAAGATGGAAAATAAACATAAATCTTTTGTTCGGAGTTAATCCTCCCATCGTACGACTCAGCAATCCTGGGCCAAGCGAAGTGTACCACAAGCACAACGGCGCTCAGGCACCAGCGACCTTTAATAAACCATTGTGCCGGACCCCATTAATAAAGTGACCTGCACATAGACTTTTATCAAGTAAAAATAAAATTATTGATATCACGCCATTCACGTCATGAGGATGTCTCAAAGCACTTCACAGGATTCTCAGTAAAGTCTAGGGACTGTGGAATTTTCTAAGCGAACACTACAGCAATTGTGCACAGCAACATCCCACAAACAAGTAGTTGCACAGCACAGAGGAAGACCAGCCTGGACAGATCCACCCACAGATGAGAAGTTAAGGGGCATTTAGAAGAAATACAAATGATTCCTCTGCAAGCTCCTCCTTAATCTCCTGCCCATGTTCTTTCCTCGTCCACCTCTGGCGGTAACTGAGCCTTTAGCCATTATGTCTTGCTCTCTGCAAATCTCGCTCAAAACCCCTTTTTCTTTCTCTCGCACCTTAAAGAGTTTCTTGCCTGCCTGTTTTCCTGTCCCTTTGCTTAGAGCCCCCTGAATTACCCTACTTCCTTTCCTCTCGTTGCATGCCCATTGACACTGTGAAACACATCAAGATGTCTATCATGTATGAAAGGCACTGTGTAAGTTCTTGTTTTTATTATTGTTACTGAAAGGCATCAAGAGTATAAATAATACATGGTAACATTAGGCCACATTATTCACCGAAAATGTCAACTTATTAGATTTTGTATATCTTATCAAAAGGGGCTTCGTGACCCTGTACTTTTAATCTGCAATAACCCTAATTGAATTCTTCAACACTCTTAATTGATGTTGAACTCCAATCTAAATGAATGAACTAGAATTCAACCCAGCTGTTTTTCTTCTGTGCTAAACAACCATCAAGCGGTAAAACTGTGCAATTTTTGTTTTTTTGCGCAAAGCATAAGAACATAAGAACATAAGAATTAGGAGCAGCAGTAGGCCATTCGGCCCCTCTAGCCTGCCCCGCCATTCAATAAGATCATGGCTGATCTATTCCAACTCCACCTACCCGCCTTATCCCCATATCCCCTTAATCCCTTTATCCACAAGAAACCTATCAATTTCAGTCTCGAATATATTCAAGGACTGAGCATCTACAGCCGTTTGGGGTAGAGAATTCCAAAAATTCACTATCCTCTGAATGAAGAAGTTTTTCCTCAACTCTTCCCCCTAAGTTTAAGACTGTGACCCCTGGTTATAGTTTCTCCAACCAGGGGAAAAAGTCTCCCACTATCTATTCTGTCGTGCCCTTTAATAATCTTATAGGTTTCTAAAAGATCACCTCTCATTCTTCTATATTCTAGAGAATATAGGCCTAAATTGCTTAACCTATCCTCATAACTCATCCCCCTCCTCCCTGGTACCAACCTAGTGAATCTACGCTGTACCCCCTCCAAGGCGAGTACATCCTTTCTTAAATAGACCAAAACTGCACTGTAGGTGTGGTCTCACCTGGGCCCTATACAGTTGCAGCACAACTTCCCTACTCTTATATTCTAACCCTTTTGTAACAAATGCCAACATACCGTTAGCCTTCCTAATTGCTTGCTGTACCTGCAAACTAACTTTTTGTGACTGGTCTACAAGGACACTCAAGTCCCTCTGAACGCTAACACTATCTAGTCTCTCCCCTTCTAAAAAATAATCTGCTCTACTGTTTTTGCCACCTAGGTGGATGACTTCACACTTCCCTACATTATACTTCATCTGCCACCTATTTACTCACTCACCTCGCCTATCTATATCTCGTTGCATTATTTTAATGTCATCCTCGGTATTTACTCTCCCTCCTAGTTTAGTGTCATCCGTGAATTTGGATATATTAAGTTTGATGTCCTCATCTAGGTCGTTGATGTAGATTGTAAATAGTTGAGGCCCAAGCACTGATCCTTGTGGCACTCCACTAGTCACATTCCGCCAATCTGAGAAGGACCCTTTTATCCCTACTCTTTGTTTTTTCCCGTTAGCCATTCTTCAATCCATGCTAATATATTCCCCTTAATTCCATAGGCCCTAATCTTGTGGATCAACCTTTTATGCAGCACCTTATCAGATGCCTTTTGGAAATCTAAATATACTACATCCACTGATTCCCCCTCATCTAATCTACTTGATATGCCCTCAAAAAAATCTAAAAGATTTGTTAAGCATGACTTCCCTTTTGCAAAGCCATGTTGACTCTGTCTAATCATATTGTGATCCTCTAAGTATCGCACTACGACATCCTTAATTAAGGATTCTAGAATTTTCCCTACCACCAATGTCAGACTAACTGGTCTATAATTCCCCATCTTTTCTCTCCCACCCTTCTTAAATAGTGGTGTGACGTTTGCGATCTTCCAATCAATGGGAACTATTCCAGAATCCAAAGAATTTTGGAAGATCAGACACAAGGCCTCCACTATCTCATGAGCTACTTCTTTTAAAACCCTAGGATGCAAACCATCAGGTCCAGGGGACTTATCACTTTTTAATGTCAACAATTTCCCTAGCACCAGTTCTTTGCTAATGTAAATTTCCCTAAGTTGCTCCCTATCATTAGCCCCTTGGTTCATCTCTATTTCTGGTAGACTTCTTGTGTCTTCTAACGTGAAGACAGAAGCAAAGTATTTATTTAGGGACTCTGCCATATCCTTATCCCCCATTATAATTCCTCCTGTCTCTGCCTGTAATGGACTCACATTTACTTTTGCTAACCTATTCCTCTTAATGTATTTATAAAAACTCTTACAATCTGTCTTAATGTTCCTAGCTAGCTTGCCCTCATAATCCATTTTCTCACTCTTAATGAGCTTTTTGGTTTTCCTTTGTTGGTCCCTAAAACACTCCCAGTCCTCAGGTTTGCTACTCTTTTAGGCAGTTTTATAGACCTTTTCTTTTAGTTTTATACATTCTCTAACTGCTCTAGTTAGCCACGGATGAACTGCTTTCCCTGTGGTACTCTTATTCCTCAAGGGAATATATGACCGCTGAGAGTTTTGCACTACATTTTTAAACGTTTGCCATTGTTGGTCTATTGTCATATCCATTAATCTAATTCCCCAGCCTATTTTAGCTAATTCTTCCCTCATACCTGCAAAGTTAGCTTTATTTAAATTTAAGACCCTTGCTTCGGATTTGACTACATCGCTCTCTAACTTAATACTAAATTCTATGATCACTCTGCCCTAGAGGAGCCTTAATAAATATATTACTGACTAGCCCTGTTTCGTTACACAAAACAAGGTCTAGGATGGCCTGTTCTGCATTATGGTTCCTCAGCATACTGTTCCAAGATTTACCCTCTGAGACATTCACCCACATGAAAGACCCTACATCAGAGTGGTTCAAAAAAACATTTTAACAGTCCAACCAGTTTGCAATTGATCATCTAACTTTTTTTAATGCGGAAGTACAGCATACGCTGTCAGGTACACTAACCTATATATGCAACATATGGTTAGGTACTCTACAGTAAAGTTACCATATATAGTACAATTGTTGAGTACTGTACATTGGATTAAGGTGTAATGGTTAGCATGCTCGCTTCACAAGCGAGAGGGCCCAATTCGATTTCATACAGGGCGAAACCTGAGGCAAGATTCCTTACTCCTCACTCCAAATGCCTTTGTTTACCTAGCGGTAAGTAGGAACCCAGTCATTAGTCAATTGGCAGATCTCTTTCTGGGGGTAATGGTTTCTACCAGTGAGATTAGCAAGTGGTTTGGTCTTCTTCGATTTCAAGATCCTCACCCTTGTATTCAAATCCCTCCAATCCTCTGCAAACCCCTACCTCTCTGACCTCCTCTCTCCTCAAAACAGCACCCATTGCCTTCGATCCTCTGGGTCTGGCCTCCTCCTCGTACCCCGAGTCCTCCGCTCCACCTCGGCGGCCGTGCCTTCAGCCACTATGCCCCGAGGCTCTAGAATTCCCTTCCTCACTCCCTTTGCCTCGTTCCCTCTCTTCCTACTTTCAGGTCCCTTCTGAAGACCTTTCTTTTCGACCATGCCTTTGGTCACCTTCCTCCCCCTCCCCCTGTCTCGGACCCAGAATTCCTTACTGTGAAGTGCTCAGAGACAACGTCTGGCGTGGAGAACGCTATATAAATCCTAGTTGTTGTTGTTGTTCTTGGATATTCCTTGACAGCAGGTTACACTGTTTGCTACCTAAGAGTGTGGATGCTGTGAAGGTAGCAGCTTCTATACTATAAACAAATCCACATTGCGTGAACAGCCATCTTATGATAGGAAAGGCAACTATTATTACTGTACATTCAGTATTACTGTACAGTCAATCCACAACTGTTTGTAGAACACTGCTGTGCACAATT